ATTTTATTGCATTTTCTTGCACAAACTACACCTAAAAGTGTAGAAAAAAATTGACAGCCCGATCCGAGTAGAGGAACACCATTTTTATGACCATTAAAGCGATTTTCGTAAAAAAAAATTTTCAAAATAATTCAATTTTTCTTAGGCAGACTATTTTATTGCATTTTCTTGCACAAAATACACCTAAAAGTGTAGAAAAAAATTGACAGCCCGATCCGAGTAGAGGAACACCATTTTTATGACCATTAAAGCGATTTTCGTAAAAAAAAATTTTCAAAATAATTCAATTTTTCTTAGGCAGACTATTTTATTGCATTTTCTTGCACAAAATACACCTAAAAGTGTAGAAAAAAATTGACAGCCCGATCCGAGTAGAGGAACACCATTTTTATGACCATTAAAGCGATTTTCGTAAAAAAAAATTTTCAAAATAATTCAATTTTTCTTAGGCAGACTATTTTATTGCATTTTCTTGCACAAAATACACCTAAAAGTGTAGAAAAAAATTGACAGCCCGATCCGAGTAGAGGAACACCATTTTTATGACCATTAAAGCGATTTTCGTCAAAAAAAAATTTTCAAAATAATTCAATTTTTCTTAGGCAGACTATTTTATTGCATTTTCTTGCACAAAATACACCTAAAAGTGTAGAAAAAAATTGACAGCCCGATCCGAGTAGAGGAACACCATTTTTATGACCATTAAAGCGATTTTCGTCAAAAAAAAATTTTCAAAATAATTCAATTTTTCTTAGGCAGACTATTTTATTGCATTTTCTTGCACAAAATACACCTAAAAGTGTAGAAAAAAATTGACAGCCCGATCCGAGTAGAGGAACACCATTTTTATGACCATTAAAGCGATTTTCGTAAAAAAAAATTTTCAAAATAATTCAATTTTTCTTAGGCAGACTATTTTATTGCATTTTCTTGCACAAAATACACCTAAAAGTGTAGAAAAAAATTGACAGCCCGATCCGAGTAGAGGAACACCATTTTTATGACCATTAAAGCGATTTTCGTAAAAAAAAATTTTCAAAATAATTCAATTTTTCTTAGGCAGACTATTTTATTGCATTTTCTTGCACAAAATACACCTAAAAGTGTAGAAAAAAATTGACAGCCCGATCCGAGTAGAGGAACACCATTTTTATGACCATTAAAGCGATTTTCGTCAAAAAAAAATTTTCAAAATAATTCAATTTTTCTTAGGCAGACTATTTTATTGCATTTTCTTGCACAAAATACACCTAAAAGTGTAGAAAAAAATTGACAGCCCGATCCGAGTAGAGGAACACCATTTTTATGACCATTAAAGCGATTTTCGTAAAAAAAAATTTTCAAAATAATTCAATTTTTCTTAGGCAGACTATTTTATTGCATTTTCTTGCACAAAATACACCTAAAAGTGTAGAAAAAAATTGACAGCCCGATCCGAGTAGAGGAACACCATTTTTATGACCATTAAAGCGATTTTCGTAAAAAAAAATTTTCAAAATAATTCAATTTTTCTTAGGCAGACTATTTTATTGCATTTTCTTGCACAAAATACACCTAAAAGTGTAGAAAAAAATTGACAGCCCGATCCGAGTAGAGGAACACCATTTTTATGACCATTAAAGCGATTTTCGTAAAAAAAAAATTTCAAAATAATTCAATTTTTCTTAGGCAGACTATTTTATTGCATTTTCTTGCACAAAATACACCTAAAAGTGTAGAAAAAAATTGACAGCCCGATCCGAGTAGAGGAACACCATTTTTATGACCATTAAAGCGATTTTCGTCAAAAAAAAATTTTCAAAATAATTCAATTTTTCTTAGGCAGACTATTTTATTGCATTTTCTTGCACAAAATACACCTAAAAGTGTAGAAAAAAATTGACAGCCCGATCCGAGTAGAGGAACACCATTTTTATGACCATTAAAGCGATTTTCGTCAAAAAAAAATTTTCAAAATAATTCAATTTTTCTTAGGCAGACTATTTTATTGCATTTTCTTGCACAAAATACACCTAAAAGTGTAGAAAAAAATTGACAGCCCGATCCGAGTAGAGGAACACCATTTTTATGACCATTAAAGCGATTTTCGTCAAAAAAAAATTTTCAAAATAATTCAATTTTTCTTAGGCAGACTATTTTATTGCATTTTCTTGCACAAAATACACCTAAAAGTGTAGAAAAAAATTGACAGCCCGATCCGAGTAGAGGAACACCATTTTTATGACCATTAAAGCGATTTTCGTAAAAAAAAATTTTCAAAATAATTCAATTTTTCTTAGGCAGACTATTTTATTGCATTTTCTTGCACAAAATACACCTAAAAGTGTAGAAAAAAATTGACAGCCCGATCCGAGTAGAGGAACACCATTTTTATGACCATTAAAGCGATTTTCGTAAAAAAAAATTTTCAAAATAATTCAATTTTTCTTAGGCAGACTATTTTATTGCATTTTCTTGCACAAAATACACCTAAAAGTGTAGAAAAAAATTGACAGCCCGATCCGAGTAGAGGAACACCAATTTTATGACCATTAAAGCGATTTTCGTAAAAAAAAAATTTTCAAAATAATTCAATTTTTCTTAGGCAGACTATTTTATTGCATTTTCTTGCACAAAATACACCTAAAAGTGTAGAAAAAAATTGACAGCCCGATCCGAGTAGAGGAACACCATTTTTATGACCATTAAAGCGATTTTCGTCAAAAAAAAATTTTCAAAATAATTCAATTTTTCTTAGGCAGACTATTTTATTGCATTTTCTTGCACAAAATACACCTAAAAGTGTAGAAAAAAATTGACAGCCCGATCCGAGTAGAGGAACACCACTTTTATGACCATTAAAGCGATTTTCGTAAAAAAAAATTTTCAAAATAATTCAATTTTTCTTAGGCAGACTATTTTATTGCATTTTCTTGCACAAAATACACCTAAAAGTGTAGAAAAAAATTGACAGCCCGATCCGAGTAGAGGAACACCAATTTTATGACCATTAAAGCGATTTTCGTAAAAAAAAAATTTCAAAATAATTCAATTTTTCTTAGGCAGACTATTTTATTGCATTTTCTTGCACAAAATACACCTAAAAGTGTAGAAAAAAATTGACAGCCCGATCCGAGTAGAGGAACACCAATTTTATGACCATTAAAGCGATTTTCGTAAAAAAAAAATTTTCAAAATAATTCAATTTTTCTTAGGCAGACTATTTTATTGCATTTTCTTGCACAAAATACACCTAAAAGTGTAGAAAAAAATTGACAGCCCGATCCGAGTAGAGGAACACCAATTTTATGACCATTAAAGCGATTTTCGTAAAAAAAATTTTTCAAAATAATTCAATTTTTCTTAGGCAGACTATTTTATTGCATTTTCTTGCACAAAATACACCTAAAAGTGTAGAAAAAAATTGACAGCCCGATCCGAGTAGAGGAACACCAATTTTATGACCATTAAAGCGATTTTCGTAAAAAAAAATTTTCAAAATAATTCAATTTTTCTTAGGCAGACTATTTTATTGCATTTTCTTGCACAAAATACACCTAAAAGTGTAGAAAAAAATTGACAGCCCGATCGGAGTAGAGGAACACCATTTTTATGACCATTAAAGCGATTTTCGTAAAAAAAAATTTTCAAAATAATTCAATTTTTCTTAGGCAGACTATTTTATTGCATTTTCTTGCACAAAATACACCTAAAAGTGTAGAAAAAAATTGACAGCCCGATCCGAGTAGAGGAACACCAATTTTATGACCATTAAAGCGATTTTCGTAAAAAAAAATTTTCAAAATAATTCAATTTTTCTTAGGCAGACTATTTTATTGCATTTTCTTGCACAAAATACACCTAAAAGTGTAGAAAAAAATTGACAGCCCGATCCGAGTAGAGGAACACCATTTTTATGACCATTAAAGCGATTTTCGTAAAAAAAAAATTTTCAAAATAATTCAATTTTTCTTAGGCAGACTATTTTATTGCATTTTCTTGCACAAAATACACCTAAAAGTGTAGAAAAAAATTGACAGCCCGATCGGAGTAGAGGAACACCATTATTATGACCATTAAAGCGATTTTCGTAAAAAAAAATTTTCAAAATAATTCAATTTTTCTTAGGCAGACTATTTTATTGCATTTTCTTGCACAAAATACACCTAAAAGTGTAGAAAAAAATTGACAGCCCGATCCGAGTAGAGGAACACCACTTTTATGACCATTAAAGCGATTTTCGTAAAAAAAAATTTTCAAAATAATTCAATTTTTCTTAGGCAGACTATTTTATTGCATTTTCTTGCACAAAATACACCTAAAAGTGTAGAAAAAAATTGACAGCCCGATCCGAGTAGAGGAACACCACTTTTATGACCATTAAAGCGATTTTCGTAAAAAAAAATTTTCAAAATAATTCAATTTTTCTTAGGCAGACTATTTTATTGCATTTTCTTGCACAAAATACACCTAAAAGTGTAGAAAAAAATTGACAGCCCGATCGGAGTAGAGGAACACCAATTTTATGACCATTAAAGCGATTTTCGTAAAAAAAAATTTTCAAAATAATTCAATTTTTCTTAGGCAGACTATTTTATTGCATTTTCTTGCACAAAATACACCTAAAAGTGTAGAAAAAAATTGACAGCCCGATCCGAGTAGAGGAACACCAATTTTATGACCATTAAAGCGATTTTCGTAAAAAAAAATTTTTAAAATAATTCAATTTTTCTTAGGCAGACTATTTTATTGCATTTTCTTGCACAAAATACACCTAAAAGTGTAGAAAAAAATTGACAGCCCGATCCGAGTAGAGGAACACCAATTTTATGACCATTAAAGCGATTTTCGTAAAAAAAAATTTTCAAAATAATTCAATTTTTCTTAGGCAGACTATTTTATTGCATTTTCTTGCACAAAATACACCTAAAAGTGTAGAAAAAAATTGACAGCCCGATCGGAGTAGAGGAACACCATTTTTATGACCATTAAAGCGATTTTCGTAAAAAAAAATTTTCAAAATAATTCAATTTTTCTTAGGCAGACTATTTTATTGCATTTCCTTGCACAAAATACACCTAAAAGTGTAGAAAAAAATTGACAGCCCGATCGGAGTAGAGGAACACCCCTATTATGACCATTAAAGCGATTTTCGTAAAAAAAAATTTTCAAAATAATTCAATTTTTCTTAGGCAGACTATTTTATTGCATTTTCTTGCACAAAATACACCTAAAAGTGTAGAAAAAAATTGACAGCCCGATCGGAGTAGAGGAACACCAATTTTATGACCATTAAAGCGATTTTCGTAAAAAAAAAATTTTCAAAATAATTCAATTTTTCTTAGGCAGACTATTTTATTGCATTTTCTTGCACAAAATACACCTAAAAGTGTAGAAAAAAATTGACAGCCCGATCCGAGTAGAGGAACACCAATTTTATGACCATTAAAGCGATTTTCGTAAAAAAAAATTTTCAAAATAATTCAATTTTTCTTAGGCAGACTATTTTATTGCATTTTCTTGCACAAAATACACCTAAAAGTGTAGAAAAAAATTGACAGCCCGATCCGAGTAGAGGAACACCAATTTTATGACCATTAAAGCGATTTTCGTAAAAAAAAATTTTCAAAATAATTCAATTTTTCTTAGGCAGACTATTTTATTGCATTTTCTTGCACAAAATACACCTAAAAGTGTAGAAAAAAATTGACAGCCCGATCGGAGTAGAGGAACACCCCTATTATGACCATTAAAGCGATTTTCGTAAAAAAAAAATTTTCAAAATAATTCAATTTTTCTTAGGCAGACTATTTTATTGCATTTTCTTGCACAAAATACACCTAAAAGTGTAGAAAAAAATTGACAGCCCGATCGGAGTAGAGGAACACCACTATTATGACCATTAAAGCGATTTTCGTAAAAAAAAATTTTTCAAAATAATTCAATTTTTCTTAGGCAGACTATTTTATTGCATTTTCTTGCACAAAATACACCTAAAAGTGTAGAAAAAAATTGACAGCCCGATCGGAGTAGAGGAACACCAATTTTATGACCATTAAAGCGATTTTCGTAAAAAAAAAATTTTCAAAATAATTCAATTTTTCTTAGGCAGACTATTTTATTGCATTTTCTTGCACAAAATACACCTAAAAGTGTAGAAAAAAATTGACAGCCCGATCCGAGTAGAGGAACACCAATTTTATGACCATTAAAGCGATTTTCGTAAAAAAAAATTTTCAAAATAATTCAATTTTTCTTAGGCAGACTATTTTATTGCATTTTCTTGCACAAAATACACCTAAAAGTGTAGAAAAAAATTGACAGCCCGATCGGAGTAGAGGAACACCAATTTTATGACCATTAAAGCGATTTTCGTAAAAAAAAATTTTCAAAATAATTCAATTTTTCTTAGGCAGACTATTTTATTGCATTTTCTTGCACAAAATACACCTAAAAGTGTAGAAAAAAATTGACAGCCCGATCCGAGTAGAGGAACACCAATTTTATGACCATTAAAGCGATTTTCGTAAAAAAAAATTTTCAAAATAATTCAATTTTTCTTAGGCAGACTATTTTATTGCATTTTCTTGCACAAAATACACCTAAAAGTGTAGAAAAAAATTGACAGCCCGATCCGAGTAGAGGAACACCAATTTTATGACCATTAAAGCGATTTTCGTAAAAAAAAATTTTTCAAAATAATTCAATTTTTCTTAGGCAGACTATTTTATTGCATTTTCTTGCACAAAATACACCTAAAAGTGTAGAAAAAAATTGACAGCCCGATCCGAGTAGAGGAACACCAATTTTATGACCATTAAAGCGATTTTCGTAAAAAAAAATTTTCAAAATAATTCAATTTTTCTTAGGCAGACTATTTTATTGCATTTTCTTGCACAAAATACACCTAAAAGTGTAGAAAAAAATTGACAGCCCGATCCGAGTAGAGGAACACCCCTATTATGACCATTAAAGCGATTTTCGTAAAAAAAAATTTTTCAAAATAATTCAATTTTTCTTAGGCAGACTATTTTATTGCATTTTCTTGCTCAAAATACACCTAAAAGTGTAGAAAAAAATTGACAGCCCGATCCGAGTAGAGGAACACCAATTTTATGACCATTAAAGCGATTTTCGTAAAAAAAAAATTTTCAAAATAATTCAATTTTTCTTAGGCAGACTATTTTATTGCATTTTCTTGCACAAAATACACCTAAAAGTGTAGAAAAAAATTGACAGCCCGATCCGAGTAGAGGAACACCAATTTTATGACCATTAAAGCGATTTTCGTAAAAAAAAAATTTCAAAATAATTCAATTTTTCTTAGGCAGACTATTTTATTGCATTTTCTTGCACAAAATACACCTAAAAGTGTAGAAAAAAATTGACAGCCCGATCGGAGTAGAGGAACACCAATTTTATGACCATTAAAGCGATTTTCGTAAAAAAAAAATTTCAAAATAATTCAATTTTTCTTAGGCAGACTATTTTATTGCATTTTCTTGCACAAAATACACCTAAAAGTGTAGAAAAAAATTGACAGCCCGATCGGAGTAGAGGAACACCCCTATTATGACCATTATAGCGTTATTCGTAAAAAAAAATTTTTCAAAATAATTCAATTTTTCTTAGGCAGACTATTTTATTGCATTTTCTTGCTCAAAATACACCTAAAAGTGTAGAAAAAAATTGACAGCCCGATCGGAGTAGAGGAACACCCCTATTATGACCATTAAAGCGATTTTCGTAAAAAAAAATTTTTCAAAATAATTCAATTTTTCTTAGGCAGACTATTTTATTGCATTTTCTTGCTCAAAATACACCTAAAAGTGTAGAAAAAAATTGACAGCCCGATCCGAGTAGAGGAACACCAATTTTATGACCATTAAAGCGATTTTCGTAAAAAAAAAATTTTTCAAAAAATTCAATTTTTCTTAGGCAGACTATTTTATTGCATTTTCTTGCACAAAATACACCTAAAAGTGTAGAAAAAAATTGACAGCCCGATCCGAGTAGAGGAACACCAATTTTATGACCATTAAAGCGATTTTCGTAAAAAAAAAATTTCAAAATAATTCAATTTTTCTTAGGCAGACTATTTTATTGCATTTTCTTGCACAAAATACACCTAAAAGTGTAGAAAAAAATTGACAGCCCGATCGGAGTAGAGGAACACCAATTTTATGACCATTAAAGCGATTTTCGTAAAAAAAAAATTTCAAAATAATTCAATTTTTCTTAGGCAGACTATTTTATTGCATTTTCTTGCACAAAATACACCTAAAAGTGTAGAAAAAAATTGACAGCCCGATCGGAGTAGAGGAACACCCCTATTATGACCATTATAGCGTTTTCGTAAAAAAAAATTTTTCAAAATAATTCAATTTTTCTTAGGCAGACTATTTTATTGCATTTTCTTGCTCAAAATACACCTAAAAGTGTAGAAAAAAATTGACAGCCCGATCGGAGTAGAGGAACACCCCTATTATGACCATTATAGCGTTTTTCGTAAAAAAAAATTTTTCAAAATAAATCAATTTTTCTTAGGCAGACTATTTTATTGCATTTTCTTGCTCAAAATACACCTAAAAGTGTAGAAAAAAATTGACAGCCCGATCCGAGTAGAGGAACACCAATTTTATGACCATTAAAGCGATTTTCGTAAAAAAAAAATTTCAAAATAATTCCATTTTTCTTAGGCAGACTATTTTATTGCATTTTCTTGCACAAAATACACCTAAAAGTGTAGAAAAAAATTGACAGCCCGATCGGAGTAGAGGAACACCCCTATTATGACCATTATAGCGTTTTTCGTAAAAAAAAAATTTTCAAAATAATTCAATTTTTCTTAGGCAGACTATTTTATTGCATTTTCTTGCACAAAATACACCTAAAAGTGTAGAAAAAAATTGACAGCCCGATCGGAGTAGAGGAACACCCCTATTATGACCATTATAGCGTTTTTCGTAAAAAAAAATTTTCAAAATAATTCAATTTTTCTTAGGCAGACTATTTTATTGCATTTTCTTGCTCAAAATACACCTAAAAGTGTAGAAAAAAATTGACAGCCCGATCGGAGTAGAGGAACACCAATTTTATGACCATTAAAGCGATTTTCGTAAAAAAAAAATCTTCAAAATAATTCAATTTTTCTTAGGCAGACTATTTTATTGCATTTTCTTGCACAAAATACACCTAAAAGTGTAGAAAAAAATTGACAGCCCGATCGGAGTAGAGGAACACCAATTTTATGACCATTAAAGCGATTTTCGTAAAAAAAAAATTTCAAAATAATTCAATTTTTCTTAGGCAGACTATTTTATTGCATTTTCTTGCACAAAATACACCTAAAAGTGTAGAAAAAAATTGACAGCCCGATCGGAGTAGAGGAACACCCCTATTATGACCATTATAGCGTTTTTCGTAAAAAAAAATTTTTCAAAATAAATCAATTTTTCTTAGGCAGACTATTTTATTGCATTTTCTTGATCAAAATACACCTAAAAGTGTAGAAAAAAATTGACAGCCCGATCCGAGTAGAGGAACACCAATTTTATGACCATTAAAGCGATTTTCGTAAAAAAAAAATTTCAAAATAATTCCATTTTTCTTAGGCAGACTATTTTATTGCATTTTCTTGCACAAAATACACCTAAAAGTGTAGAAAAAAATTGACAGCCCGATCGGAGTAGAGGAACACCCCTATTATGACCATTATAGCGTTTTTCGTAAAAAAAAAATTTTCAAAATAATTCAATTTTTCTTAGGCAGACTATTTTATTGCATTTTCTTGCTCAAAATACACCTAAAAGTGTAGAAAAAAATTGACAGCCCGATCGGAGTAGAGGAACACCAATTTTATGACCATTAAAGCGATTTTCGTAAAAAAAAATTTTTCAAAATAATTCAATTTTTCTTAGGCAGACTATTTTATTGCATTTTCTTGCACAAAATACACCTAAAAGTGTAGAAAAAAATTAACAGCCCTATCCGTGTAGAGGAACACCAATTTTATGACCATTAAAGCGATTTTCGTAAAAAAAAATTTTTCAAAATAATCCAATTTTTCTTAGGCAGACTATTTTATTGCATTTTCTTGCACAAAATACACCTAAAAGTGTAGAAAAAAATTGACAGCCCGATCGGAGTAGAGGAACACCAATTTTATGACCATTAAAGCGATTTTCGTAAAAAAAAATTTTTCAAAATAATTCAATTTTTCTTAGGCAGACTATTTTATTGCATTTTCTTGCACAAAATACACCTAAAAGTGTAGAAAAAAATTGACAGCCCGATCCGAGTAGAGGAACACCCCTATTATGATCATTATAGCGTTTTTCGTAAAAAAAAATTTTTCAAAATAATTCAATTTTTCTTAGGCAGACTATTTTATTGCATTTTCTTGCACAAAATACACCTAAAAGTGTAGAAAAAAATTAACAGCCCGATCCGTGTAGAGGAACACCAATTTTATGACCATTTAAGCGATTTTCGTAAAAAAAATTTTTCAAAATAATCCAATTTTTCTTAGGCAGACTATTTTATTGCATTTTCTTGCACAAGATACACCTAAAAGTGTAGAAAATAATTGACAGCCTGATCCGAGTAGAGGAACACCAATTTTATGACCATTAAAGCGATTTTCGTAAAAAAAAAATTTCAAAATAATTCAATTTTTCTTAGGCAGACTATTTTATTGCATTTTCTTGCACAAAATACACCTAAAAGTGTAGAAAAAAATTGACAGCCCGATCCGAGTAGAGGAACACCAATTTTATGACCATTAAAGCGATTTTCGTAAAAAAAATTTTTCAAAATAATTCAATTTTTCTTAGGCAGACTATTTTATTACATTTTCTTGCACAAAATACACCTAAAAGTGTAGAAAAAATTTGACAGCCCGATCGGAGTAGAGGAACACCAATTTTATGACCATTAAAGCGATTTTCGTAAAAAAAAATTTTTCAAAATAATTCAATTTTTCTTAGGCAGACTATTTTATTGCATTTTCTTGCACAAAATACACCTAAAAGTGTAGAAAAAAATTAACAGCCCGATCGGAGTAGAGGAACACCAATTTTATGACCATTAAAGCGATTTTCGTAAAAAAAAAATTTTCAAAATAATTCAATTTTTCTTAGGCAGACTATTTTATTGCATTTTCTTGCACAAAATACACCTAAAAGTGTAGAAAAAAATTGACAGCCCGATCGGAGTAGAGGAACACCCCTATTATGACCATTATAGCGTTATTCGTAAAAAAAAATTTTTCAAAATAATTCAATTTTTCTTAGGCAGACTATTTTATTGCATTTCCTTGCACAAAATACACCTAAAAGTGTAGAAAAAAATTGACAGCCCGATCGGAGTAGAGGAACACCCCTATTATGACCATTATAGCGTTTTTCGTAAAAAAAAATTTTTCAAAATAATTCAATTTTTCTTAGGCAGACTATTTTATTGCATTTTCTTGCTCAAAATACACCTAAAAGTGTAGAAAAAAATTGACAGCCCGATCGGAGTAGAGGAACACCAATTTTATGACCATTAAAGCGATTTTCGTAAAAAAAAAATCTTCAAAATAATTCAATTTTTCTTAGGCAGACTATTTTATTGCATTTTCTTGCACAAAATACACCTCAAAGTGTAGAAAAAAATTGACAGCCCGATCGGAGTAGATGAACACCAATTTTATGACCATTAAAGCGATTTTCGTAAAAAAAAAATTTCAAAATAATTCAATTTTTCATAGGCAGACTATTTTATTGCATTTTCTTGCACAAAATACACCTAAAAGTGTAGAAAAAAATTGACAGCCCGATCGGAGTAGAGGAACACCCCTATTATGACCATTATAGCGTTATTCGTAAAAAAAAATTTTTCAAAATAATTCAATTTTTCTTAGGCAGACTATTTTATTGCATTTTCTTGCTCAAAATACACCTAAAAGTGTAGAAAAAAATTGACAGCCCGATCGGAGTAGAGGAACACCCCTATTATGACCATTATAGCGTTTTTCGTAAAAAAAAATTTTTCAAAATAAATCAATTTTTCTTAGGCAGACTATTTTATTGCATTTTCTTGATCAAAATACACCTAAAAGTGTAGAAAAAAATTGACAGCCCGATCCGAGTAGAGGAACACCAATTTTATGACCATTAAAGCGATTTTCGTAAAAAAAAAATTTCAAAATAATTCCATTTTTCTTAGGCAGACTATTTTATTGCATTTTCTTGCACAAAATACACCTAAAAGTGTAGAAAAAAATTGACAGCCCGATCGGAGTAGAGGAACACCCCTATTATGACCATTATAGCGTTTTTCGTAAAAAAAAAATTTTCAAAATAATTCAATTTTTCTTAGGCAGACTATTTTATTGCATTTCCTTGCACAAAATACACCTAAAAGTGTAGAAAAAAATTGACAGCCCGATCGGAGTAGAGGAACACCAATTTTATGACCATTAAAGCGATTTTCGTAAAAAAAAAATCTTCAAAATAATTCAATTTTTCTTAGGCAGACTATTTTATTGCATTTTCTTGCACAAAATACACCTAAAAGTGTAGAAAAAAATTGACAGCCCGATCCGAGTAGAGGAACACCCCTATTATGACCATTAAAGCGATTTTCGTAAAAAAAAATTTTTCAAAATAATTCAATTTTTCTTAGGCAGACTATTTTATTGCATTTTCTTGCACAAAATACACCTAAAAGTGTAGAAAAAAATTAACAGCCCTATCCGTGTAGAGGAACACCAATTTTATGACCATTAAAGCGATTTTCGTAAAAAAAAATTTTTCAAAATAATCCAATTTTTCTTAGGCAGACTATTTTATTGCATTTTCTTGCACAAAATACACCTAAAAGTGTAGAAAAAAATTGACAGCCCGATCGGAGTAGAGGAACACCAATTTTATGACCATTAAAGCGATTTTCGTAAAAAAAAATTTTTCAAAATAATTCAATTTTTCTTAGGCAGACTATTTTATTGCATTTTCTTGCACAAAATACACCTAAAAGTGTAGAAAAAAATTGACAGCCCGATCCGAGTAGAGGAACACCCCTATTATGATCATTATAGCGTTTTTCGTAAAAAAAAATTTTTCAAAATAATTCAATTTTTCTTAGGCAGACTATTTTATTGCATTTTCTTGCACAAAATACACCTAAAAGTGTAGAAAAAAATTAACAGCCCGATCCGTGTAGAGGAACACCAATTTTATGACCATTTAAGCGATTTTCGTAAAAAAAATTTTTTCAAAATAATCCAATTTTTCTTAGGCAGACTATTTTATTGCATTTTCTTGCACAAGATACACCTAAAAGTGTAGAAAATAATTGACAGCCTGATCCGAGTAGAGGAACACCAATTTTATGACCATTAAAGCGATTTTCGTAAAAAAAAAATTTCAAAATAATTCAATTTTTCTTAGGCAGACTATTTTTTTGCATTTTCTTGCACAAAATACACCTAAAAGTGTAGAAAAAAATTGACAGCCCGATCCGAGTAGAGGAACACCAATTTTATGACCATTAAAGCGATTTTCGTAAAAAAAATTTTTTCAAAATAATTCAATTTTTCTTAGGCAGACTATTTTATTACATTTTCTTGCACAAAATACACCTAAAAGTGTAGAAAAAAATTGACAGCCCGATCGGAGTAGAGGAACACCAATTTTATGACCATTAAAGCGATTTTCGTAAAAAAAAATTTTTCAAAATAATTCAATTTTTCTTAGGCAGACTATTTTATTGCATTTTCTTGCACAAAATACACCTAAAAGTGTAGAAAAAAATTAACAGCCCGATCGGAGTAGAGGAACACCAATTTTATGACCATTAAAGCGATTTTCGTAAAAAAAAAATTTTCAAAATAATTCAATTTTTCTTAGGCAGACTATTTTATTGCATTTTCTTGCTCAAAATACACCTAAAAGTGTAGAAAAAAATTGACAGCCCGATCGGAGTAGAGGAACACCAATTTTATGACCATTAAAGCGATTTTCGTAAAAAAAAAATTTCAAAATAATTCAATTTTTCTTAGGCAGACTATTTTATTGCATTTTCTTGCACAAAATACACCTAAAAGTGTAGAAAAAAATTGACAGCCTGATCCGAGTAGAGGAACACCCCTATTATGACCATTAAAGCGATTTTCGTAAAAAAAAAATTTTCAAAATAATTCAATTTTTCTTAGGCAGACTATTTTATTGCATTTTCTTGCACAAAATACACCTAAAAGTGTAGAAAAAAATTAACAGCCCGATCCGTGTAGAGGAACACCAATTTTATGACCATTAAAGCGATTTTCGTAAAAAAAAATTTTTCAAAATAATTCAATTTTTCTTAGGCAGACTATTTTATTGCATTTTCTTGCACAAAATACACCTAAAAGTGTAGAAAAAAATTGACAGCCCGATCCGAGTAGAGGAACACCAATTTTATGACCATTAAAGCGATTTTCGTAAAAAAAAAATTTTCAAAATAATTCAATTTTTCTTAGGCAGACTATTTTATTGCATTTTCTTGCTCAAAATACACCTAAAAGTGTAGAAAAAAATTGACAGCCTGATCCGAGTAGAGGAACACCAATTTTATGACCATTAAAGCGATTTTCGTAAAAAAAAAATTTCAAAATAATTCAATTTTTCTTAGGCAGACTATTTTATTGCATTTTCTTGCACAAAATACACCTAAAAGTGTAGAAAAAAATTAACAGCCCGATCGGAGTAGAGGAACACCAATTTTATGACCATTAAAGTGTCACGTCACCGTAACTTTTATATTCAAAATTGTAAGAATTCTTTTTTTTTTTAAATCAATACTAAGCTGAATGTCTCTGCGACTAACACCCGTGTTTTTGTTACGCATCTAAAATACCTTTCACTTAATTGTAAACTCCCGCCCCTTTGTCGCGTGGCCAAACATCTTTTCTTTTATGTATAAAGACCCTTGCGTTTTGTATCGTTCTACGTTCACATATTGTATTTCTAAAAATATACAATTAGAAGCGAGAAACTCAGTATTACCTTAAAAGGGCATAAATGAGTGTCCCTTTCTAACAGCTACGATTCACCACGTAGACTTTCTCTTTCTAAATTCTATAATATAATCAGATATACCACCCCTGTAGTGTTTCTCGCTTACACCTGCGATTTCATCGCAGTGGTGTGCTCTTTCTAAATTCTGTAATTTAATCACAAAAACCCTCGTTGTGGATAATAAAAAAGAAAGAGATAGTCTTAGCAATGCAAGCCAATGGAATCATATAGTCTCCCTTATGAAAAACTTGATATAAAAGGGCTACTTTTTTACGGAGAGTTCAGTTCAGAAATTACCACCGATACCGTCAGTTCGAAACTTCACCTCATCTACGTTATTTCTACTCGTCATTTTTTGGATATCAGTGCCAGTTCATAGTGCTTATTACGGAATCTAGTCATTTGGACGATTTCTATAACGAGTAAATTCTAGTCAAGTCCCGTAAAATTCTACACAAAAGGAGTACTCATCTACCTAAGGACCTGTAATTTTCCATATAATTGGAAAATAACCATCTTTCCTTTTTGTGGAGGAATCTCATTGTGGGTCTTCGTCACGGCAATTCCGAACTCCGGACCTGTGGTCATTACCTAGGCCCGTCAACCTTCCTGAGGCATATAAATCTTTCTGGCACCAGCCTTTTATCCTGCCTAAACAGAAGACACCGCAGTGTCCTATTCATACATCTACTTCTAATTTTAAAGGTAAGTGTTTTTATATTTTCACCCCAATTTTCCTACATTTCTCGTAACTCTGAAGTAACCCTTGGATTCCTTGTTTCAGTGGAATGCTGAACTCTTTTCCTTGGATTGGTTGCTTCGAGATTCTCTCTCTCATAAGAACAAAATTTCTCTTAAGTGTTTGTCATAAATAAAGTATAACATTAACATTAAAAATCTCTATTCTCTTTCTTTCCTGTACCCTTAGCTCAGAGCCTTCTGCTCTGTAAATGAAACAGGAATTTACTGAATCACCGAGCGGCCATAAATAAAATAAAATATTATTTCTAAAGTTATTTCTTATTTTTGAGACGTAACAGAGGAAATATAATTTTTGGTGCATCGGCCGCTGTGAACAGGAAAGAGAATATAAATTTAAAAATTTATGCACTCAAAATATAATTTTTGATGCATCGACCACTGTGAACAAGAAAGAGAATATAAATTTAAAATTTATAATTTTTAGTGCATTTTCCCTTGTGATCATGAAAAAGAAATTAAATTCATATTTTTCTTAAATACCTTATGAGAGAGAAGAAAAAATTCTTGAACCAACAATTCCAAAATTCCTTTAATTCCTACTTACATAAAACACAAGTGATAATTCTATAAGTGAAAGTCGATCCAAAAGTGAAAGCAGTCAAATATTTGTGATTAATTCAAATATGCAAAATTCTAATTAAACTTTATGTCTGAGAAAAATGATCCCATTTTTAACCCAACACCTGATCGTTGTCTTAGAAGTCATACTAAAGCCGGAAATTTAGAAACTCGTCCAAAAGTTGTTCATTCTCCCCCTATTAAAACTCAATCATTCGATTCAAAAATTTCCGAAAACGATAGTACTTTAAAAATTAGCACAGAAATAGAGAGTGAACAAACATTTAATGCTTTTGAAAATAATCTTCTTGAACTAAAATCAAAACATTCATCTACACCAAACAAAGAATCTTTTATTTCAATATTAGAGAAATCAGTAAAAATGTCTCTCCCAAATAATCAACAAGTATCTCTTCGCGACGCGTTAGAATTAGTGCCTGTGTTCGATGGAAAAAATATTCCAGTAGTTTCATTTATAGAAGGTTGCCATGAAGCAAAATTAATGTTGCCAGATTCACCCCAAGTGGAGGAAAATTTAGTAAAATTAATTCGTGGAAAGTTAATAGGAGAAGTTAGAAAATCAATATCGGGAAATATTTTTAAAACAATTTTGGAGTTAGAAGCTCATTTAAAGAAGATATATTTACCAAATAAAAGTATCTATCAATTGCAAGGAGAGTTAGGAAATATTTTTATGAAGGAAAATGAAAGTGTCATATCGTATGCGAATCGAGTAAAAGAATTATCGGATCAGATTTTTGACTCATACAGATTATCGAGTAAAGACGGTAAATTATCCGAAACGATGTTAAAAAATTTAGAAGTAGATATAATATCCTGTTTTCGTCGAGGGCTACGTCCAGAATTAGAGATTCGAATTCCAGATTGCATAACTTTAAAAGAAACAACAAACAAAGCATTAGAGGCAGAACGAAAATTAAATGCGGTTGTAGAGCTTAGAAAAGAAAATTCTTGTAGGCCAAATAATGCAAAAATTACATTTGCTAGTACAGATATAGTAGTATGTCAAAATTGTAATGTAGAAGGACATACTTCACGCACTTGTCGTAGGTCAGAAAAAAATCAATACTCAACACAGCATAGGTACCAGCGCTCCGTATTCCGCATGAAGCAGAGACCACCTGTCTATTATCTAAGAAGAGGGATGTCCCCCTCGTTTAGTGAACAAAAGCATTCCCCTTTACAATTACGATTTTCGGGTTTTCCCCAAAATTTACATAATAGAACAAACTCACAATCTCCAAATAAAAATGATTTTCGTACTAATAAACAAAATAGATTTTTTAATGTTACTTGTAAATATTGCAAAAATCGTGGGCATGTTATTAAAAATTGCAGAAAAAGAGAATATAATAATTATAATCAAGGTCAACAGAATCGATCATCCACATTAATGAACAAGGGAAACGAATAATACCTTCCCATGTCGGGTACGATGGGACAGGTGCTAACAGAAAAAGCGTGCCTAAAAAGCAAATATCTGAACATTTAGAAACCATTCAAATCAATTGTACTAAAGGAAATATGATACCATCTATTTATGTTAATACAATTTCTAAACCACTTCATTTAATGATTGATACAGGAGCAGGATTAAATCTTTTAAAAGAAAAAATGCTTGATTCCACAATGACTTTAAATAAATTTAAAAAAATACAACTTACAGGTATTAATGAACACCCTGTACACACACTAGGTCAAACAAAATTAAATATCTTTGGTTATCCAACAACTTTTAACATAATACCTAATGAAGTTCCCATAGAAGAGGATGGAGTTTTAGGATCAGAATATTTTACAGATAATAATGTCAAAATTAATTATGCTGAAAAATGTTTAGAAGTCAAAGGAAAAATGTTCTATTTCGCATCAAGAAATTTTATTACTCTCCCACCTCGATCAATATCTGACATATTTTTATTTGTTGAAAATTCTAATTTAAAAGAAGGATATGTTCCACTTTTAAATACTGAACCTGGAGTTTACATAGGAAACGCTATAGTCACAAATAATAATGGTAAAGCATACGTAAAAGCAGCAAATACTCTATCAAATTCAGTAAAAATACAAATTCCGAAAGTAATTTTACAAGAATATGACGAAGTTTTTAATAACTCATCTGACACAAATCAAATTAAAAATAATAAAATAAATATTGAAAATAACACCGCGGAAAAATTATTTGACAATTTTGTATATTCAGAAACCTTGTGCGATAAGCAATTTGGATTTTATAATATTACGGGTAAAGAAAGAATTGAAAAAATATTAGATTCACTTCGTTTAGATCATTTAAAACCAGATGAATTAAAACATGTAGAAGCATTAATCGCGGAATATTGTGAAAGATTTCATTTACCAGGTGAATATTTAACAGCTACCAATGTTCTCCAACATAACATCCCTACTAAAGATGACGAACCAGTATTCACGCGACAATACAGATTTCCCCCAGTGCATAAAGAAGAACTTTTAAGACAAACAAGTGAACTCTTAAAAAATAAAATAATCAAACCTTCTCAATCCCCATATAATACACCAGTATGGATCGTGCCTAAAAAAAATGACAGTCATGGAAATAAAAAATGGCGAATGGTATTAGACTTTCGCAAATTAAATGAAAAAACAATAACCGACTTTTTTCCGCTACCGAATATAAACGAAGTGCTCGAGACCCTTGGAAATGCGCAATACTTCTCTGTGTTTGACTTAGCTTCCGGTTTTCATCAAATTAAAATGAGTCCAAAAGATTCTCACAAAACAGCCTTCTCAACCCCATATGGTCACTATGAATTTGACCGTATGCCTTTCGGTTTAAAGAACGCGCCAAGTTGTTTTCAAAGATTAATGAATTGTTGTCTATCCGGTCTTATAGGTACAGATCTATTTGTATATCTCGATGACGTAGTAATTTTTGCAAATTCTCTTGAAGAACATCAACAAAAATTTGATAATTTTATGTCTCGTTTATGTAACGCGAATTTAAAATTACAACCAGATAAATGC